TTTGTCAACCTGTTTGGAATCTGATATGCTCCCTATGTTTCAATTTTGGTATGGATATGTACAGTACTTCCTGTTTTATAAGTACATTAAATTTGTCTATGGAGATCTCTATCTTAAATTTGAAATCATGCAATGTCCATTATTTTCAAAAGGAAGCAAGCAAGTCTTATGATATTTCACAAAAATAATCACTTTACTATTGCCTTCGTGTGGTTAGGTCATGAAAATAAAATTTCTCAAAATAAAAGGGATTTTAGGGGTCAGTACAGAAAATAGTTTTTTGCCTGTAACTTTTTTATTTACCAATCAATATTCCAAGTGATTTCGGTTTTGAGTTTAGCTGAGGAGGGGCAGTTAAAGAAATATGTTCCTTAGGGTCAATTTATGACTCCTTATAGGAGTTTTAGTGAATTGAAAAACAGTCGTTTTTTTTTTTTTTTTTTTTTTGCATTTTTTGAATAATTATGAAAGAGTTATATCTCTTTGAGTAGCTGTAGATGAATATAGTGACTTGTAATGTTTCATTATTGATATCACCAGAACATAAAGCATAATGAACCTTTTGAAATTTTATTATGTAATAACCAATTCACTTTAAGCTCCTTAATTTTAATGGGTCGAAAAGCCCTCCGTTTTTGTTGAACGACAAAAATAAGGTCTAGTTTTGTATTATTATTTTATTATTATTATTTTTTTTTTGAGCGAAAAAAAATAATAAATAAAAGCTATCATTGGCCTAGAGGGAGTGTTTTGAACTACATGTAGTCTTGATTTTGTGGAGACCAGCTGGCTCCAAATCATGCAAATACCTTATTGTTCATTTTTTTGTGTATGTTCTTTAAATCAACTCATTTGATATAATAAAAATCTAATTAAAAATAAGTCAATTAAAAATATTTCCTGGGGTCGTTGTAATGTGTTATAACTTCTGTGTTAGTTTTCCCTGTGTACACTATACATAAAGTACGCGAATCTAATCATTGCTTAAGATCTTGGCTGTTCGATTTACCTCCCTATCGTTTCTAAAGTATTCAGATTTATATTGGTGAAGTTTGTCGATCCTGATCATGAATAAACACAATTTAGAATTCAAGTTAATTAATCTTAACCACTGATAACTTCTGTTGTAATCAAATCTATGCTTACTATTGTTTATTTTTATTTCCAAGGTAAAAATCTCAACAAGGGAGGTAAACAGAATCATCTATTCATCGGCAAATCGCACGTTTTTAATGTTGCAGATAAACTAATATTTTCCTTTGATTTTTCTGTGGTTATTTGGATTATTTCTCATCGATTTTCTTGTAAATAGGTAAGTAATATCTTGAAGAATATACGTACAAATTTTTGAATTACTCAATGAAGTATACAATGGAGTATTTTGCTTGTGAAATTAAAGCCTTTGTTACAATGATCGGTCACGGAGTCCGCTATTCATGAGTGACAAGCGCTTGCTTATATTGTTCTAATCACTCTGTGACTTTTCGATGCAAACAAGCCGATTCTGTCCTTAAAGAAGTATAATTAATAGTTTACTGTCATGCCGATTAATATTTTTTCCCAATAATGAGGCCATAATTCCACAATGTTGATGAAAATCAATAGGAACACATTGATCCAATTATCGTGTCGTTTGATCTTTTGACAGCCAGGAATGTCTTCAGACAGGGGAAGTGGCAGGGGCAGGGGTAGACGGTCCCGAGGGGGACAAAATGATGGAACCCAAAACTCAGGGCCTGATAGCCCCGCGGAAGCGAATGGACCCAGCACTTCAGTTGTATTGGAGCCCCCCGCCCCTGCCCCCAAGCCTGCTTCGAAAAGCTTTAAACCCACAGGAACAAGCATGAAGAGGTAATATAAACTTCCTGTAATATCATGATCCCGGTATTTATTATTTAAGTATTGATAGTGCAGGTTTGACTGAAGAGAAACGATGATATTAAGTGCTCTTATGACAAGGCCTCTGAGAAATGTACCTCATTTGCATATAAGATATTTTGTCATGGTTCTTAAAATCGGTCACACTTTATTGTTTATTTTGGTTATGTAATGAATCTCTGAATGCTAAGCATCATTTTAACACGCAGAATGCTGGTGTAAACTCTATGATTAACAAGAAAATGGTCAATGTTTTTAACGGTGGAAAGGTCAAAAGGTCAAATACATGCCAGAAGAAGTTAAATACACTAAACTTCATGGGGATTTCCTAAATTTGGCAGGGACTGGTCATTTAAGAGTAAAACAGATGTCAGTAGTACAAAATAAAATGGAATAGTTTTAGAATAAAATTTCACCAAAACCAATGGAATAAAGATGAATTAAAAAGAGATGGTTGAAAAAAAAATTTTGCAGGTGTAACCAGCATATGCAAATTATGCAGGGTATGGTGGTCATGTTGAAGCTGTGTATGCTTTCAGGATGAATAATGGGATATGATGAATAAGATCCGAGTACTTGACCATATCAGCTTCTGAATTATATTCCACTAAATTGATTAAAATATGCATGGATTTATTGTGTCAGTGAGTCTTAATATGTTGGTGATGCTTTCTTGAGTTTTTTTTTGTCATGTATGCAAAGGCATGCTAATGTCAAATAACATTGCATTAACATAATGTTATGATCAGTTGAAAAGATAATACATTTGGAAAATTTAAAAAAAAAAATTTAATTTTCTGATCGGAGGGTGTGTGCCAATTATGGCTGTTACTGATCTTAGTTGATAAAAAGAAATAGGTAACAACTGTTCCTTAACCAAGCACTGCAGCACTTTGGAGTGAATGTTGCATGTCATTTGGACAAAGTCTAATAAATGGAGGCATCCTATCATTGTAGCCATTAAATTGGCACAATATTATTGAACCCTCACTGCTCAATGGCACCGAGTGCCGAGTACACTATAGTGTAAGTTTAAGCCCTTTACTGGTATTTTCAAGTTTTTCTCAATGGCCAATTTCAGACTTGTCACAAAGCAATCTAGGGTTATGTAGTCCAAAAAATCTAACATTTTCCAGGCTCTTTTTACGATTTTGATATTTTACATGCCAGGAAAACGTCAAAACCAGTGCCATTACGAAAACTGAAATTCGCCGCCTCCACCTGAAGGTAGCATTCTCGGGTTAATTATTAAATCTTGGGATTTGAATTAAATGATGAATTCACAACTTATCATCAGTACAATGCCTTTAGTTCTCACAAGCATAGTTTTATGGTCTATTTATAAAATATACAGTCCAATGAAAACATTTTATCAGAGCGCTGAGTTTTGTTTTCATTTCATGCATTTTAAAATTCGACAAAACCTGCATCCAAATATCATAATGGTGTGACACTTTCTTTTCATTGATATCAGTGAGTACTACTAGCATTGTGCTACTGATAAATTTTAATTTTGGTATTTAATTCAGTTTGCAAATTGAAAATCTGCTCTGGTTAGAGATTGCTAGTTTTCATAATGGTGCCGCTTCTGACGTCAAAAAAGTCAAAAAGCCTGGAAAACGTCAGATATTTCGGACAGGGTTAATGGAGGGGTTTCAAGGGACCATATGCCCTCATTCAAGGAGAGATAATACAGTGTACAGAATTGGTGAAAATTTGAATGTATCGATCCTTTGAAGATTTTAACTCTTCTCAATAATCTTTGTTTTGTTTGTTTGTTTGTATGCTTCTTAACATCCCAGACCCTCTCGAGAACTGTTCATTCATATGGAGATGCCATCACTTTGCTGGTGGAGAGCTGCAAATTTTGTCCTATACTCCGCACTCAGGGCCATTGAGCAGTGAGGGATCTTTTTAGTGCCAGCACCTACTTGGACACTGGACTTAAGTTTATAGGTCTCATCCCAAGGACCGGTGTCCACGTCCCACAGTAGGATTCAATCCCACAACTTGTTACTCCTTACTTGACGACTCTAGAGCAGACACTCTAACCTCTGCACCATGCGTGCGACTCAATAATCATTGTACCTGAAAAGATGCAACTTACATGAAAGTTTCATCACAATTTAGTACAATTCTTTGTCATCCTTGGACTTTCAGTTAAGGCATGCCATTCTCAATGCTGCGGAATACGTAAATAATGTCTTTCAAATGGCGAAAAGATTCTCATTGGTTTAAATGAAATTAATAACAAAAGCAACTGTAAATAGTTGTTGACAACGATAAGACGACTTAATTAAGCCCCACCTCTTTGCCATAAGAAATGCTGCCATTGGATCATTGCTACACTGTCTTGTTGACATTGGTCAAAATTTCTATCCCATGTATATTTTACAGTGTTTGAAAGGCTGTGTAAATTTCAGACGCTTATTATGTAATGTCGAGAATACGACACCTTACTGAAAGTCCAAGGATAACAGAGAATTTTACCACATCAGGGACCAACCTAGACCCAAAATTTAGGGAGACTTCACTTCTCCCTGAGAGAAATTAAGGGAGAAGTTTTGAAATTTAGGGAGACTTCTTGGCGCGTGTGATGCTCACTGATCATTATAAAACTTTTTAAAAATGAAACTACATAATAATGCATTTCATTGTTTAAATAATTTTAAAATACATTTTCAATAATTTTTCTTTATTGACTATGCATGTTGACATCAGTATAAATAATTCTTTTTTAAAAGAGAAACTTTCTGAATTTTTTCCAATAACAAGGTATATCTAACAAAAAAAAAATAAAACAATGATGCCCAATGTAATTTTTTTTTCATTTCTTGCATAATATGCACAATTAACTTTCAAATAAATTCTACCTTTTCATTTAAAATTTTCAGCCTCATTGCATTATTTTCTCTTCAAAATCTGTTTCCAATAGGTTAAATTCTTTTTCTGAAAAAAGTTTGATGTACTAAGCCCTGCAAGCTGATTGAACATGTAACTTCTTAGACAGTCAGTAACTCCACAATTTAACAGTTAAATATGTCTGTATTCACAGCATGAATTAATTATTTGGTAATAAAAAAATCCAAAATCATCTTCAACATCTTTGGCATGACATCGATAGCTGACCAGCTGTTTTACGTCTGGTTGTGTGTAACTTGTAATAATGGACTTTTTCAAACACGGAAGGGTAAAATCTAGAGGAGTTCCGACAGGGTGTTCGATGCATTGGTCATATTAGTAGCGAAACAGGTGCAAGTGTCCTGCTGTTTTGTTTATTTCAGCAGTAATAAAACAAGATTTATAAAATACTGACGATTCTACCATGTTTCTTAATAGATTTTTAATGACTTTCAATAAAGAGGTTGCAAATTATAGAGCGACTTAAACTTCGCTTTTGTGATAAATTACAGCGAAGTTTGGAGCCCAAAAGCGACTATTTCGCCTCAGTCGCCCCCTAGGTTGGTCCTTGCCACATGTACATCTTGTAGATTCAAATTTGTTCAAATCATGACCTCATGGGCAAGGGCAGGGCCATAATGAGAGATCAAAGTTTTACATTTATAGGAATGATATCGAGAAAATCTATTAATTAAAAATTCTTCTCAAGAATAAGTCATTATTATAGTAACTTTATTATAGAAGCAACCTCAGGTACTGTAGTGTAGAGTCAATTTTGTTCAAATCTTGCAGTTGTGTGATGGGGTCACAGTAGACGAGTTTTGCATTTACAGAAAAAAATCTTTAAACAGTCTTGCAGTGAGTGATATGCAGGTCTTTCAGTCATAATGTGACCTAGCGACCGGTTACCGATGGCCCTGAAATCAACAGGATATATTACTATTAAGGCAGTTATCACTATCAGAGCCAGGGCAAAAATTCTCTGGTTTTCATTGCTTCATGTAACTTAAAATTGTGTCTTTTTTAAGTACTTACAGAGTTTTTTTATTAGTTTGACTTTATATTATTTTTTTTTTATCCATTTTGTTAGTGTAATGTATAACTATACATCATTTATGTACAACATTTAATTCGTACTGTACAGTATATCATGTCTATGTTTAACTTAATACAAGCAGGTATGGTGTACGTGATTAATTAGCAGTGTTACTTAAATTAGCATTGACACACGCATTAATGCTAAATAACAACTATCAGTTTTATGAAGTGTGGTATTATTAAGGTATTTTGAAATTGCCACAATTGTAATTCACAAGCAATAATCACGAAAACTAGTTTAACTAATTCAGATCTTTATATAAGTGTCTGAGTAAACATTATGCTAAGATAAAGTAAGGTTATAAAAGGTGTCAGTTTATAAACATTTTTTGGTTTGTTTGTTTGTTGGTTACTTGTTCTACAAACAACAATCAAACAACAAAAAAATGATTGGTTTTGAAACAGTTTTTCTTCATATTACTATGTAAGGGATAAATAACGAGATGGTGTTGAATAGTGTAGAGAAAACACTCTCTCCGAGGACAAAGGCCCGAGGAGGGGATGTTTTCTCTAAACTATTCAACACTACCGAGTTATTTATCTAATACTTAAAAAAATTCCCTACTTTGGGCCCATAAGAAACAGTTACCCATTCAAATATCCAACTTGCTGTAATACAGTAGGATGTAGCCCATTCAAATATCCAACCGTGACATAAACAATAGCCTAATCGAACACCCTTTTTATTCATGGACTAGTGAGCATGAAACTACATGGTGCTGATTTCATTTTAACCTTTTTCATTGTACTGAACAGTCATGAAATCAGACGAAGAATATTTTTTAATCCAATGTAAATTAGAGAGGTTCAGATAGTGTTTTGAATACTTTTGACCTGAAAACTGAAGAAAACTACAGAATTTTCATAAAAGGTTGGGAATTTGTCATTACATATCATAAGATGATGGTTTGTTGAGGAAAAGCGTTGAATTCTTATGGAGTTCCATTCGGACAATACACTGTACTTGTAATAGTGCTTAAACAGATAAAAAGATTGGCATTGTTATGCTGAACCTGCTGTAAAAAATTCCATATCAAGATCTGCAATCAAAATGATGTCGAAAAATAGATGGGCTGTCAATTATTTAAGTTCTTTTGGGAAGTACGCGGGAAAAGAATGAAACAGAGATGAATCTTAAGGGATATTTACTGATAACGGACCCTGAAATAATATTTAGCAATACGAAGTGATGCAGTTTAAGATTCAATGATTGATTGATTGTATATTGTTTAATGTCCCTCTCGAGAATTTTTCACTCATATGGAGACGTCACCGTTTGTCGGTGAAGGGCTTCAAATTTTGACCTTTACTCGGCACTTAGGGCCATTGAGCAGTGAGGGGTCTTTATCGTGCCAATGCCTGCTGCTGACACGGGACCTCGGTTTTCAAGGTCTCATCCGAAGGACCCGTTTAAGATTCAAGGTGAAAATGTGTTTATGTGTTAAATAGTGATGATTCAAAGATTTAAGATCGAAAATATTTCTAAAAGTGTGCAAAATTCGGATGAATTGTTATTTCTGTGAGCATTGGAAGTGCATTTGAAACTCAATAAATGTGATAAATGTGAAGTTAGAACGGTTATTCCGTGTGCACTGGAAATTAATTCTAATAGTATGGCAAATTTGGAGTAATTATTTTATTTTTCACATGCATTGGAAATACATTTTAAAATTGTTTTTATCTCTTTTGTTCACTGTTTTATGTTTTATGCACCTCAGTTGGGTATTTAAATATCCAACCGATAGGCAGTTGGATATTTTGAATATCCAACTGATGGCCAGTTGGATATTTTGAATATCCAACCGATGGCCAGTTGGATTTTCAAATATCCAACTAGTGCTGGTTGAATCGGTAAAATAAACCTAGACTAATAACAATGGGTGACGTCATAGAAGTTTTTTAAACCCTTCTATCCAGCACACGATTATATCCTACCTGAACATGCTGAATACCATTATAAATGTTGAACTTGTATGTTTATATACCTAGCTATTTATCCTGATTAAAGCACACAGGAATGCTTGAAAAGTTGGGAACATTATTAATTTTGCAAAAATGTTATAAGATTTAAAGCTTATAATTTTTGAAGAACACACTGTTTTCTTCCAATTAAATGTCATATATAGAACATACACATGTACTTATTAGTGTAAGTGAATAACACTTATAATTAACTTTCAATTTGGCTGTAGACATGCATAACAATTAATGTGTCGGGGTGTTCTTCAGAGATGTTTGAAATTTAAATAAAAGGAGCAGTTTTAAACTTGTAAGATCTTACAAATGAAATGTAACAAGCAATATCAAAGAATTGTGGTCTCCTTCTTTCAGGGTCAAACTCTTATTATTGGGGAGCAGTCATATTTTAACTACTTTTTCTCAATTCTGTCCATCATATTTTAAAAAAAAAGTTCTTTATTGGAGTAATATTAAATATTGTGTTAAATTAAGGCATTGGTTAAAGTTTTTAAAGTCAGACGTCAAGGTCATATAAGAGGTAAAAGACTTGTCACAAGTAAGGAACGTGAAAATTTGAAAGCCCTCTTTCTTCATGTAGGCGAAGAGATCTTGTTGCAGATAATACATTTGTGAAAAATTGGCAAAGATATTTTTTTTTAATCTTCAAGGTCAAGGTTATGAGGTCATAAACCATAAGTTTTGACACAGGTAATAATGGTGTGAATATGAAAGCCTTCTCTCATTCAAAGCTCATGACCTAGTTTAAAGTTTCTGTGATAGACAGACACTATATGCCATATATGGATGAACAGACAACTGGACAAAAAAAGATTTCATGTTCCCTTGATTTTGCAAGGAGGGAGGAAGAAAATTATTTGCATTTTCTCTTTGAGAAGGCAGTAATCAGTAAGAGTTTGGATTTTTCAAATGTAAATAAATTACAATGTAGGGCAATTACAGGGGGCAGCAGTAACAATTATAGTAGTCGTTTGTATAGATACGACAGTAAATTATGTTGAATTTTAAAGGACAAGATTGGGTAAAGGTCAGATATAGCCTAGCTGATTCTAATTTGATTCAGATCTTACATGTATAAGTATATAGGCCACAACAGGGTGACAAAGAAGAACAAATTTTCTCAATTCTGGTGAAATTTTGTAAAATGCTAAATGCTTTTCAGTTCAGTTGGTAACATAGCTATAGAGCACAAACTTGCCTACCTGAGATTTTAATGTATATACACAGCAAGTACTCAATACAAGATAGGCATGCTTGTGCACTATGTTTTCTGAAACAAAATATGCTTTAAAACTGATGAAAATTTCAATATTAGTACATGTAGTAAGAAAAATTTGAAATTTAACTTGAAATTGTAAGATTTCCAGCTCATTTGATTCAGTCACTCAGGCAAATTTGTTCATGAGACTGCATATTGATTTTTCAGGGATTAGGTATAATGAATTTTTTGAATTCATGAATTTACAATATTATATTTATTCAGCACATTTGTCATCTTCTTAATTAATACATGCATGATTGTATTATATCTTTGGTATCTTTCAGAATTCAAAAAGAATTAGCAGAGATTACAATTGACCCACCTCCCAACTGTAGGTGAGTTAAATTTTATTTTAAATGATTTTGAAGTACCAGAGGAAATATCCCAGTTGATATGTACACTATATGAATAACCTTATTTATATTCAGTATTTTCATGACAGACTGTTCTAATGTGGATGTAGTGAATGCTGTTGAATATTAATGCTTCTCTCTACATATGGCTCTATTGATTTTTTTCAAGGTTAATTCTCCTTTCTAATTCTATGGGCATTTGTGCAGTGGTTATATTTATAGAAGCATGTATATCTGCTGCACATACAGTTATCTAACATTAAAATTGATATAAAGTCTTTGATTCAATTTTGATGGGTTACCTGGCCATAAAATCTATGTAATTTATCTTTCATGGCTTTGTTTGAATTTTGATTGTATGACTGTAAAAGAAGTGAGCAAAGTGGCCCCATAATGATGACCCAAATAGCTTGTACAATACAAGTAGTACATTAAAGTACTTTTGTGAATTAGACCCTTCACTGCTACACACTTCAGGATTAAGTTTGATTGAAGATATAAAACTTTGATTATTTTTGTATAGGGGATTAAGATATAACTTGACGTGTTTTATTATCTTACAGTGCTGGTCCAAAGGGAGACAATATGTACGAGTGGGTGTCCACCATTTTAGGACCCCCGGGGTCAGTGTATGAGGGTGGGGTCTTCTTTCTGGACATTCACTTCTCAGCAGATTATCCATTTAAGCCACCAAAGGTACAGGTTTTATTTGTTGTCAATGAATTAAGAAGCATGACAGGACAGATTGCATGTTGTATTTAAACTAGACTTGGCAACTCATCTAACCTAGAGAAACATTAATCAGCGGGAATGATGGTAATCAGTTGCAAATGAACAATGGGCTTAATCATCAAACATGCATGTTCTTTATTGTTTTATCATGGTTATTAATTTTCATGAATTTTTAAAAACTGTTTTCTGAGTGGAATGGTTAAAATTTGTAAATAAAAGTTTATTTTGATGATTTTGCATCATCTTTTTCTACAAGGATGCTCTCTTTGCTGTGCTTAGCCAAGTTTTCATACAATGGTAAATGAAAAAACAAACAAACAAACTATTGTTTACACCACAGTATGTGACATCCTTTTACGAATTCACCTGAATCACTCAGGTAAACAATTGCTCTCTGTTTTTGTCATTAATTATCTGTTGTGCATCAGTCATAAACTTTTGAAAATAATCTTTGATAGATGAACCAATTATTAGCTTATACTGTATCATTTAAATTGCGAATTTCAAGATACCCCCCTTCCCCGGGGCTAAGGGTTGGGGTAAAACCTTCCAGATTTAGTCTTTAAAGAGCTTTTCCTTTACTTCTGCATGGACATAAAGCAATCAAATTGTTGTGATGATTATAATAAAGATTGAGCACTAGATATACCCAAATTTTGAAATTCATGGCCTCAATATTGGGGGCACTGGAGTTGGATGGGCTCAGTTGATCATATAGTGAAAATGAATGGCCTGATCTTGTAAAATCTTCACTCCTCTGTAGATTTTGCAAACAAACTATGTCCATGGTGCGGAATGATGCTTCAATCTTCCAAAATTAGAATTTCATGTCCCTGCATGAGTCAGCAGTTCTAATGTTAGAGTAGGGCATTATCATGAACATAATGAACATGGTTTATCTTTTTCAATAAAATTTACCTGATAATGTGTACTAGGATGTAACTGAGTAGAAAGAAATTGCATG